AACTTTTCTTTTTCATCATCAACCTTCATATTATCTTTTTGATATTTCTTGACTTCAACGAAGGTAGGGTCATTATGAACGACGGGCTAAAAATGAATATACGGGCGAAGCAGTCCCTATAAACATTTAGGATAAGGTTTTGGATTAAAACTGTTTTGCCACCCGTTGATGAAGCAACAACAATTGAGCGAAAAGGTAGTTTTGGCACATGTTCATATTTGGATTGTTTGAATTCATAATCAGTTATGTTTATTGGTTTTATAATGGGAACTTCAGGCATAAAATAATAATATTAAAAATATTTAGAAAATAAATTAATATTATTTATTGTATGAAAGCATTGCTATGATATGAATGGTGTCTATCGTAGTAGAACAGGCTCTTTCATCAACTTCAGTCAATAAGTATTGAAGATAATTAGTTTTGTGTCTTGCTCGCGTATGCAATGAAAACCCCAAGTGCTGTGCCCCACCAATATTCTATTATGCATGAAAATAATAAGATTAAAAAACTATTTTATCTTATTATTTATATGACTATTATCCATTGCAGTTGTGGTAAAACTTATGATGACAAATATTTATTTAAACATCTAAATTCAAAATATCATCAGAAATTTGTAGAATATAGATGGATTAAAGACGATACAATGAAAAAACTTTACAAGAAAAGAAAGACAGAAATGAAAAATAATTTATCTTATTATTTAATATGAAAAGGAGTTATACAGATTATATTAATATAATAAATGAAATGGAGAATATAGAACGGGTTGTCATAACTGATAATAGATGTAAAAAAATATGTTATTTTATTTTAGAATTAATTAAGTTTTTGATACAATATATTAAAAATATAAATATTAATATAAATGCCAAAAAAGAAAAACAAAAATAATAAGACAGGTTTAAGTGTTTCATCAACTGATGAAGAAATTGTTAAAGAAGCATCAGTCACTGAGTTTGCTTGTCCTATGTGTAAAAAGATGTTAGAACTTAGAAATGAATTAGAAATAAAAAATAAGGGTAATTGCAAATGCAGTTGTGTGCCAATAGGGTTCAAAATATCTAAAAATGATAAGAAAATGAACATTGATAAAACTAAAGACGGCATCAACTTAGAAACAGATGCTCATAATATTTGCATCAAATTTGGGAATGAAGCTACAACGTCAGATAATGTTGATAACGAAACACAGGAAACTATTAAACAAATGATGAAAAATTAGTATTTAAAGACTAGAATTAACATAATTTAAACATTTAGTTTTAAAAGTATAGTTGAATAATATAGTATATGGTTGAATTTTCAAGTTTAACACATTTACATTTTGGAGCACTTGAATTAGACAAGCAAATTGGAGACAATAATTATAATGGTGTTAGTTATTATACTTGTAAGTGTGGATGTAAAATAGTCTTAACTCGTACTCAAACTAAAAAATATAACTGTTTATTACTTAGTGTTGGTCTTAGCTATGAATATTTATATCTGGACAAAGCGTTAGTATGTGGACATACTCAAAAAGATTTAGATAACATTGTTAGAGTTATGGTAGAAGGCGAAGAATTTAAACATTTAAGAAACAGAGACATTCGAAATTAAAATATTTAGTTTTAAAACTTTAGTTTTATAATATAGTATATATGGAAGGTGTGGATAAACTATTTTTGAAAATTGATGAAATAATGGAACAAAATAAACGCATTTATCAACTGTTAGAAAGTATGAAGAAACCAGCTTACAATAATACTAATAATTACCAACCAAAAGAAGTTGATAGAGAGAGCACTGAATACAAGAATAAACGAAATGTATATATTAAAAAACTTAATGAAAAAGTTATTAAAGAACCTAAACAATCAAGTCTGGATTTCTACCAAGTCAAGTATATTGAAGATACCAAGAAATATGTTTAATCATTAACTAACAAAATTTCGTGTCTCAGAAGTGGTTTGTTTATTCCTGCTACTCTGTAAGTTTTATTGCCCATAATATCATATTCAATTTTATCAACATTGAATATCTTATTAGACCATTTAGAGTTATACTCTTTTCTGTCGGTGTAATTGCCCCTTTTCTTTTGAAACACTTTTATCTTATCGTTCTCCTGTATTCTGGGATACTTTCTTTTGTTCTTTTCTCGTAGTTTCAGATTGACCTTTACATTTATTTCATTGTCGTCCTTGTGTGCTTCGGTTGGTGTCATCCTTGTTGACGAGTGTAATGTGCTGTTATACTGTTTCAATGCTGGTGTTAAGGCATCGGTCCATTTCATATTATTAAACCTAACTCTATCGTGAATTTTGTTTTTCATCGTCCTAATAAAACGTTCGGCTACATTTGCGTGTGTCTTTGTTATTATGTGTTTGATACCTTCGCTGTTGAAGAAATCCTGAACTTGGTTTTTGGTTGCAAATGCTCCATCATCATCAGAATACACAGACATCGGATAACCCATCTTTTTAAAACTTGCTCTTAGTGCTTTTAGAACGTGCTCTCCGTCTCTTTCCTCCATCGGAATTGCATCTGCTAATTTACTGAAGATGTCAATCACGACTAAAGCATACTGTGGAACGTTCTTGTCTTTAGCTAAAGGTGACATATGCATTATGTCTATTTGATATTCATACCTAGCAAACGGGGCGGTATAGGAATTAGTGCCTCTATAATTTTTGATTTGTTTATTTGGTTGTTTCTTTAAGAAAGACTTTACATCTTCTAATGTTATCGTTGGGTCTTCTTCCTTTGCCTTCTTGTGTGTTGCTTGTGTGCTTCCGAAACCCTCGTCTAAGTCATAATAGATGTTGCTGATTATTTGGTCTTTCGTTAATCTCGCCATTATATTATTTGTTAGAAAATATTTTTTATCGATATAACCCCCACCCCTTAACATTAAAAAAACTACTTAAAGAGAAAAAACCTTATATATTAAGAGAAAAATGAGTGAGGGTAAAATGTCGAGAATAATTTTATATTTGAGAATTGCGCTAGCTTACCTGCTGATGTATTAAAAGGTATCATTTCATATAAATTAGGGAGACCTGAGTATTTGAAACTAAAACATAATCATATTAAGACATTAAAGAGAATACAACAACGATATAAAATAGACAGAACAGAAACAAAAAGAAAGACAAAGCGCTATACTGTTGAAGATGGCGATGATATAAAGAGACACGTAATTGAGTATTACATTTCAAGAAATATACCTTTAAGCATAAAAAGCATCAAAGATATAGTGTTTAATGAAAATGAAAACTTAGATTGTTTGTTAGATGGCATTGAAACCGATAACGGTTATGAAGCAGTGATAATAGTTGAGGTAAATATGTTTGTAAGGTTTCATCATTTCAATTATGAAGACGACCATTTTAACACTTTTAGTTTTCATTTTCATAGTGATGATTTTGTAGATAACATAACCATAGATAATATATCCGAAGTAATGATAGAGGCACATCAAACAATATACAGATGTATTGATGATGAAAGAAGTAGAATGAATTTTGGAGGAGTACAAAACATAAGGTTTAAACTAATTGTTGATGAACCTGTGTAATTCTAACTAAACCATAATTATATCATTTATACTCTTATATGTTATAATTATAGTGAACTTTTAATCTATAAACATTTCATTAAATGACAAACCACAACAACCGCCCAAAAGCCAACCCATGAAACCACAGAAAGTCCTATCCTCTTTCAATCAATAAAACTAAAAGTTGAAATCTGGAACGAGACAGGGGACCAAATCATCAATTCGTTACCACATCCATATCGTTATTTCATGCCCCCAAAATCAGCCTTTTAAAAACGGATAAGGTGGTTCACGCGTTGAAATGTGAAAAAGAAAACAGAACAGGCAACCATCTACCCCCCACCCCCTAGGACAAGCCTTTTCTACATTTTTCCCCACCCCCCCTCAACCAAGAAGATGATGGCTTCCGCAGCAACATTTTGGATGTTAAACCTGTACAACGCGTCGCTGAACTTCTCTGCAACAGGCATTCACAGAAGCCACGTGCACCTTCTCACTTCCTGCCTGGATTGGCCAGAACAAGTCCAAACCTTTTGTGCGAAACTACAACGGTCTTCCGAGAAAGTGCCAATTCCATGAACTCAATGGAATCCAGTTCCAGACCGAGCAGATACACTCGGGGTAGAGTAAGACAAAGTCCAAGACGAATCAAAGGGAGTTTCCAGTCAATCTTCACATCGCTAGCTGTGTTTTCCAGCGACCCGAATAGAGCAACCCGCGACCATTTCGCAGCCCGAGCCTTAAACGCAGGAAAGCGATTTTGAGGTTTATTTACCACTAGGGAAGCGGCGAATGGAAGCAAGCTGCATGGACCGAGGGGAGCCCTGCACGCAGTTTGATCAGCCTCGAGTTTTTGGGACCCTCTACGGCAGGCCTTGTGCCATGTTGCTGTGAGAAAAACAATTGCCTCAGCTTGCACTTTTTCTATATGCCTGATTCTGGCCCATATTGAATAAAACTCAAAAAGCTTAAAGACGTTTAACAAAGGACCCAGCGTCGACACTAGCGCGACGGGGTTATGGTTCATCACCTAGTCAAAGGAGTTCTCTTATTATATGTTTTATTATTATTATTTGTAATTAAGACGTGTCTGCCGCAAGACTCGGCAAGGTTAGCATCTGCATGAGGCTCCTACCCGGATGCACAACAACTCATTGTACTTGTACTACCTCCATATATGTATATATATATACATATATACATAAACTATGATTCACCTAATTGCCGTTGCCTCTTCGAACAGTTCTGAGCAACGATCTGCTCACAGCCCCGGGCGCGTGCTTTTTTGGATTTGGTGCCCAACTTTGGGGTGGTTTTCTCAGTGGACACCAAACCAGTCACTTCAGGGAGCCTCCTGTTTGGCACAAGCCAAGCCCCCCAAAAAAACGCAACTTCACCCAAACCCATGTTTGGGGATCCCCCGAAAATCAGCCGTGAGAACCTCTCTCCAAGGCGCATGACCAGGACTTGGAGCGTTCCGCCACCGCAGGTGCTGGCCATCATGGAGGACAGGGTGCAGGCGAGCAAGGCCGACCTCGGCCATCCAGAGGGCTTTCTGCCTTTCGGATGGGGGGGGGGTCCAAAAAGGGTAAATCGCAGATAACATCACCATGGGGGCCAAGCCCTCAATGATGTCTTTTTTGGGCTGGGTGTTCACTTCGCAAGTGGGATTGGCAAAAAAAACGAGTTCGAACTTGTGCACTACGTGGCTTCAGACCTGGCCTTGCAAGCCCTTTCAATAGTGAACCTTTTTTGGGGGCTGGCGGGAGGCCATTTATTCAATCTGTGTAACAGGCGTATACTTCTGCGGATTTGATTTCAATGCCGTCTGGGAGCTATCAAGTCAGAAAGTGGGGTCGTCCCCGCTTACCTGTGGGGTGACTTTGAAGGTAAGGTGCAGTTCCCCCCCCCCCCCTCATTTGTTCCAGGAAGGCTTTTCAGAAAATAGTCCGGCAAATCCTACGGATTTTGGGCATTCCAACTTTGAAAGGAATCAACGGTCACTGGGTTTGAACCGTTCGCCCAAGTCCTGGCTTGGCGAGCTGAGCTAAGATGACCGGCCAGAACCAGTGCCTAAACTTTTGAACCTTAGGATGAAGAAATCGGCCTACGAATGCCCCCAAATGACCATGGGCAAGTTTCAACATTTCGTGGGACATATCTGCTTAGTTTTTCCTGGTCATCCCCATGTGAAGGACCTTTTCAAGTCCAAAGGATGCTGTCAACTTCATCTTGAGCGGATCCGCTCGAAACCCGCTCCACTAAGCCCGGGGGTTTCCCGCTGGAAGCTTCGAACCTCCGATTCACAGGTTTCACCAAACCGCGACCGCAAAAGCCGAAGGCAACGCCAGGCTGATGTCAGGGCCATAGCAGGGGGAGACATTGCAGCCTAAGAGGGACTAGTGACTGATAGGTATTTTCCTCGAAGCCGCGAAGGTGTCCTCTAATTGGTCGTTTGGTTGGGTTTGGAGATTCGGGAGGGGGCTTCTCATTTGCTTCTATCAAGGACCTGAGGCTCAAATCCCATCACCAAAACTCATTTCCTCAGATCAAAACGTGAAAACGTCCAGGAACTCAGGGAGTAAAGGTCGCCAGATCCTTAATGGCCCCTTCCCCCGCCCCCCCCCCCCCCCCCGAACCGAAAGCACGGAGTTCTTTGAAACCAAAGCCCCGAGGGTCCGGCTGCACACAGACCTTGCAGATCACATTGAAGAGCTTGACGCCTGCCTGGCCGGTTTACCCTTACCTCGTTTTCGAGCTCTCGTTTCCACGTGAATCCCCGGTTCCTGCAAGAAAACGCAGGGCGTTCAACTGACAACCACAATTTTTTTGCGAGATGCCCTGGAGATTTCAACACTTGCAATAAGATTGCACTCACCATTGGCCTTTGCAGGCACCAGCCAGGGTACCCGAAAACCACCTCCTTATGGAAGGGGTAGGTTTCTGTCGGGCATGTGTTGCAAGAATTCGAGAACTTGAAATCGGACATGGCTCCCAAGTAAAGGACCTTCAGCTTGCACCCGTTTTTAGTTTTCGGGGGGTCCGAAGAATGTCGAGCAATGGTCCTTCAAATAGGGCGTTTGCCTGACCTGCTCAGATGATTGGCCAACCAAGTCACCTGTTCGCACCTTACTTTCTAAGATGCTGAAGGCGTCTACCTACTGAAGCTTGCCACGTACACAGGTCTCTGTACTGAAATGGTGGACACAAAGCCTAGTATTTTTCCGGCCTTGTCCCTGCTTTGGCTCTGAAGCATGTGATGAAAAGGTATTGCGTGGCAATTTTGGCTGAGGGGTTGGCAATCCCGGAGCGCAAGTGATCTCGGGATGTCCCCCAGTGCGCTGCTTCTCCTTTGCGCGGTTGAAGGCGAATCAACAACTGTGGCGAAGGAACTCCCTGCGCTGGCCGCCCCAAAAACACATGGGAAACCAGAGGGCAAAACCATGTCACACTTTCTTGGCTACCAAAGTGGCTGACCTTCTGTCCACAACTACCTTATCACGGTAGATAAAGGCGGGTTCCCCAGAATAGTCACAGAAACTGGAAACCTAACACGTCCTTAGAGGGTTCATTCGAAGCTTTCTTGGGGGTGCGGGGTCCCTTATGCTACGTTACTCTCCAATTGGTTGTTGACATGAAAGCCAGCCCACGCATTAATTTGGAGAGCCCCTCATACTGCAACCAATTTGAGGAGGCAGCGTCTTTCGCTACAGCCATGGCAAAGAGACGCTTGAGGCTCCAGAAGGACTGGCTTTTGGTGAGTTATCCCCCCCCTGACGACCCAACCAGTTGGATCGAAGCGACTCAGAGAGAGTCTCGCCTTCTCAGTCATGACCTTCGCCTGTGGAGTCGGCGCTTCTCCTGGCCCGTTTCGGCTGGACATGCCGCGCGCGCGTCAGGGTACCCCATGGATCTAAGGCTACCGTCCGGTCAGCTTCAATGGGCCTTGGCAGGGTCCGGTCAGCTATGGGAACATGAGGGCTCAAAACACGAGGTTCTGGGGGAGGGTGTAAGCTTCTTTTCTCCTTTTGTTTTCTGTCTTCTTTTGAGGAGGGGGAACTCGAGTGACCCTTTGATTGCCGGCCTCCCGTGCGAATCCTATATAGCGCTCCTGAGGTTTGACTTTCCTTTGCGCTTTTTTGAAGGGAATTTAGGGGACATCAAGAGGCAATCATTCAGCGTACCTCTAGTTGGTGGAATGGTAGTTCGGTGGTGAGGCATGGTTCTCACTTACCTTCTGCAACAAGCAGGGTTCAAACCCCCAAACCACAAAATCCAAACCACCAACTGAGGGCTACTTGAATTGCACGGCAAGAAGCCTCCGGGTTGCCCAGCCCTCTGCTTGCTTCAGGCTTTGCGGAAGTGGGTTTGGGCATATGTCAAAACAGGGGAGCCGCAAAAAATGGCTTCACTCCGCCCTTTGATCCAAAGTGGACGGGGTACCTTCCACCCCCCACTTGACAGGGCAGCCCAAACGAATACAAACAGGAAGGTCCAAAAGGTCGGAAAACAGATCAGGGAGCCCAATCTTCTCCTTTTTCACTCCTTGAATTGGGTTTTTGGTCAATTCTTGTAGTGCCCCCCCCCCCCCGCATCAATTTCTTTCGCCCGTCCCATACGGGGGGTGCTCCCCTCAAGTGATGAATCCCCACCAAACTCAGGAACACCCCCGAAGAAGCTTGGGTGGTCAAACAAAAAGGAAAACATAACAGGCTTTCCCCCCCCAAAAAAAGAGAGCGGGCTTTCCGCGCCGCCTCTCCGGAGTTCTCTTCGCTTTTCGCATCCAAGGCGCCCTTGCGGGTCAAGAGGCTCCACACATCCGCGAAGTGCTGGGAGCCTTTGGTGCGTAGCCACCAGGCATGGGTCCCCAAGACCAGGCAGGCCAGCGTGTTCACCAGCGCAAGCGAAACGGCCTGAGACTCCATGGAGGTTTCCTTCCAGACTTGGAAGTGAGGAACCCCCAGAAAAATATGCCTGCCAGGTTGAGAGGTGCAGAGCGGAGTACTGTTGACCCCAGATTCACTTCAATCCTCGGGCGTCTCACCCCCAAGTGCTCAGGAATCCCACGGGCCAAATGGGCCGTAAGACTGGACAAAGGGCCCGCAGCCTTCCGCCAAATGGGCCCTGTCTTTGGCTATGGGATCTGGCAAGGAACCTAATTCCCCCTTAAGGCAACGAGAGGTAGTGAACCCATAAAACGATGGCGTAAGACATTTGTTGAAAGGACAGCTTACAGATCGTAGAAGTGGGTGTGTCGAAGACGGGGAGCCCCAAAATGATGGTTTTCCTGTTAACACACAAGCCCAAGCTCGTTCATACATCTTTGAACCTGGTGGAACAGGTCCATTAGGCGCCCGAGATGCGTTTCCCTCAAACCACGCAACAAGTATCCTCCTAGGGTCTTGTCTCCAAATGAGGAGCAAACCAAATTTAGTTCTCCCAGTTTCCTTGTGAAATGACTCGAGAGGGGTGGTTTCCTCGCAGCAGACAAGCATATTTCCCCTTTCGCTCTTTGACATCATCATTTTGGCCAACTCACAGGAAGTGCCCACCATTCTTGGAGTTGTGGTCAAATGGAATAATTTTGAACAAATTGACATCCCTTTCCCCATCGAAAGGCAGCCTGAGACTCATTTATCCCAACGGGAACATCAAACAGAACAGCAATGGAACAGAAACCGACCCCCTATGCCCGTCACTCCCACAAAGGTAGATAACACTTCCCTGTTCTTTCCTGCAATGATCCACCCAGAATCTCCTCCCTTTGCAACGAACCTGGATCCTCGTAATCAGCTGGTGAAAGTGTGCTTTCTACTGGCCGATATGCAGGGAACTCGTGCCCTGCCCTCTCCAATGAAGAAAAAGGCCCGACCCGTGCGCAAGGCTGGACGAAAACAAGACCCGAGGGTTGGTTGCGTGCCTTGCAGAAACCAAAGGCAGAGCTGCAGCTGCCAACGGGGGAAATCATGTTTGGTCTCCTGTCGCTTTCCGACAAAAACGAGATGCTGAGAACACCACCATTCCGTAGGCGGAATGCCCGTCTTATAGCGCCGCGGGCCGCGTTGCGCTACGAAGATGCACCGCTCGAAGAATGTCCAACGCGGCAATCTGGGGATGGGACTGTGCTGTGGATGGTGAAACTGGCGCCTAAGCGTTTTGCTGCATGGATCCAGGCAGTTCTGCGAACAAATCCACGAGGTGGGAAGACTCCGTTCCCTCTCTCTCTCTCTCTTGCATAGGTTCTCTCTAGGGCAAAATTCTCACCTGGTGCCCCGGATTTCAGTCAGACTGCGGCGTCATTCTCAAGCGGCGACGGCGCGAAACTTGTCGTTCACACCAGTGGAACAAACAAAACGGTGGGCGCCTTTCGGGCCAATCCCCCGTCCATTATATGAATTCTGCGGAACCCATCTATTGAATTGAGCAACCAGACTGGCTGAGGAAACTTGCCAACTCACTGCGGACTGCTCATGTGCTCCTCAGCTTAAACGCCTTCCCAAGCCTTCAGGAGTCAGGGAAGGGCTGGGCAGATGTGCAGTCAACATCAGAGTTGCGGACAGCTCGGAGATCTTCAAATATCTTCAATACCCTGCAAACTGCCTGGACTTGGGTTCCCATGAGGAAAAAGTAGCCCCGTGGCTCGCTAATGGGGGAGAAGGACAGCTCAGGAGCATGTGTGGCCACCACAGTCCTGAGGCCAAACAAGTTTAGACACCTTTTTTGCCTTGACTGAAGTGATAAAGCAGGTAAGGCGGTCTTTTCTGGAGGCTTTTGCACTTCTGCGGGAGGGGATCAGACATGCCGTGCAGTAACTCAGCTGACCTCACTGCTTCGGCGGAGGGGGTGACAAGCTGGGGCTTGACTTATTTTTGGGGAACACTCTGACAAGCAAACTCACTTCCTGAGTCGCTTGCTTTTTGCTTGCCACTAAAATGGTCCAAAGTCCAGGAATGAGCATAACAGCATAACATGATACCTGGCTTGTAATACAAGCCCCTAATTCGGCGAACCCTCAGAACCATTTCTTTTCGGGGAGTTCCACGTTTAGGTCCGGCCCGAAGCCAGCAACCAAAAAGGGGTTTCTGAGAGGCCCAGTATCCACTAGGTTGGGGGTAATTGGGACTCGTTCGCTCGCAAAAACTCTACCCGGCTCCCCCCTTGCTCCTGTCCCTGGCTGGGATCAGGCTCCTTTTCCGCCGGCAACTGTCTCAATGGCTCGCTCACGCACCTGGCGAGCGCTGACAACCTGCACATGGAAGAACACAACTCTGCTTTTAAATTCACATGGAAGGCCAAAAGGGGGGAGACTCCACTAAGTCGAATATCAATTTGGGTGATTCACTAGAATTGATAAACAAATTAAGCAAACATGCTCAGGTAAGGCGAGGGACCTTCCTCATGAGTGAGCTCGTTTTACCCCCCGTTGAGCTTGCCATACTTTGCTGAGAGGAATCTTTTGGTGTTGGCGCAACCACTTACCGCAAACGGGAGCAAGCACAAAACACATGCAAACCTGTAACCAACACAAACACATGAACAACTATTTGCGCCGAGAGTGTTTATATAGAACCCGGCTTTGCCCAAGACCGCAAGCAATCATGCCAAAAGCAACTCACCCAAAGTTTGGCGGAACGTGTGATGTCTACAAGTACCCCTTGGCCAAGCCCTGCTTTTTGCCGTTGTGACCCTTCCACGCAGGACGCTAGGATGCCGCCGGGGAAAATGCCGTGCGCGTCCGACGTCCGACCTCCTGTCTCGGAAGCAAGCCAACGTCCGTGCGCATTAAAAGCTGCTGCCGTAAAGCAGGGTTCCTCCGATTTTCCCAAGCACCCTGCCAAACAAGGCTTTTTTTTTTGCAACGGCTCCAAGGATGCCGTTTGAATCACGCAAGGGAAACATAAGGACCCTGCAAAGTGCAGGAAGGATGCGACATGCTTCACAATTGAGGCACCCGCATCGAACCACATCGAATCCTTCCAAAAATCAGCATCGCTTCGCATGCTCTGGCTCAAGCACAAGCTTGACACTAGGCCCTTTGTCTTGATTTGAGCGGGTTTCCAAGTCAAGGCTTCCACAAACCAGCAAAAAGAAGGCCTACACCAACGTGAGGCTTTCGCTTCTCCAGAGAGTGGAACCTCCTCCAAGGTACCCTCCATACATTTGCCTCTAAAACTTGATCCTCTCATTGCTTATGAGGCTTGCCTGCCAAGTGTTTGGCAAGCTATCAGGTCAAGATTCAATTTTAGATGTGTTTCCCGTTGCTACATGTGCGCTGGTCGAAACTCCTTGTGCGGTGCTGTGTTCTCGAAGGTCCCCCCTGGAGAAGTAAACAGACACTCCAAAAGCACTCCCCAACTGCTTTTTCCCATGTCCAAAATCCCATGTACTCTCCAGGGGGTCTTGCATCCGCGTGATTTTGTCACAGCTCCTTTCTTGCCCATGCTTCTTCCCCGAGCTCAAGGATCGAAGCCAGTTGTTTTTCGACTACGGCGCACATAGCCTCTTCCCAAACAATCTCGGGCCCTTCAAAACAAGTCTTTGGTTTCCCGCTTGGTCTCCTTCCAACATCCAATAGGAGCATACCGGAAATAAGGGATCCCCAAAAGGACACCTTCATGCACGCGTTACCTCCGACCGGTGAGCTCGCCACAAAAGACCCGGAAGGCAGGGAAATACCCAGAAACCGCGATCCAATTGGTTGAGGCCCCCTTCTAGTTTCGAACAGACCTTCGGTTGATTCTTGTAAGGCATCATTCAAATTATCCCCAAAAAGGCCCGGGGGAAATTCGGGGAGTTCCCTTGTTCCCTTCACATTTCCGGCCCAGCTCCAAGCTCGTGCGCGGGCCGGAGCTAATTTCAGGGCCCTCTCTTGGAGAGGCTGAATTTCCGGTGAGGTCTTTCCCGCGGCTGAAGCAAATCGCCACGAAGTCCTTCTTTTTGGCATGTCGTTTCCAACGCGGTGCTTCTTTTGGCTCTTGTTCAGTGTTCGCCAACAGCCGGCTCGGGACTGGCCCCAACATGTCGAGCTCACAGTGGTCGCAGGAGCAAGTGCTTTAGCTTTCAGCTGAGAACACTCAACTCACGGGACGTTCCAGGCCAGACAAGTGCGCCCTGCCTCTTATTTGAGCCCTGTTCGGTCAACATGCCCAGTTCTGATGCATTTGGGTCGGACATGGGGGACTGCCGGAGACTCCCGTGTCATTTACGGCAACCAAAGGCATATTCAGGGCTCGTGAGAAGGGTCCTGGTATCAGGGTTGGGCAACATTCGTTCAAACACCGAGGAACTGGCCCCCCTTTGATGAGGGATTGAAGCACCAAGTGTTGAGGGGACCCCCAAAAAGGCACAACCAAAAATGGAGTTTCAACCGTCGGAATTGAGCGGTTGGCCCAACCCAGACCTGGTGCCTAGCTGTACCCGAAACTTCCGAGAGGCAGCAAGTTGCTGCAAAGCACAGTGCTTCCCGGCGTAGACAAGCGCCACGTTTGTCGATTTCTTGCCCAGCTTCAATTTTCAGTCGTGTGCCCCAGGCAAAAAAAGGGGCGGCCGTTCTGGGGGTGGACCAATTTCCGTTCCGAACCCAAAAGAGAAAAAGGAACTTGGAGGCTTGGCTACGTCCAGCACGTTCTTGCATCCATCCTCGAAGGGCCAGCTGCTGGCCACCTGGGCACTGATATCGGGGGGATGGGTGCGGTTGAGGTCCCTAGTTCCTTGTTTTCTAGTACTTCTGGTTGCGTTCAAGCAGGGGGTGCCCCGGTTTTAGGGAATCCTGGGTTGATGTTGGTTGAACATTTCCTGATAATGTTGGGGTCGACATGCAGCTCGGCGACTCATTCCTTGTCCTTCTCTCTCGGCTCTTCATCCTCCAATGGCTCGAGCTGCAGCATTGAAAGCATCTGCGCTGGGATGAAGTCATGCTGACCTGCGAGTGCTTCGCTGGGGGTCTGGAGGGCAACTTCATTTAGCGCATGCATGCCACATGACATAACACATCCGCTGGACACCTTGCCCCCTTGCAAATCAAAGGAGTGCGAATCCCTTCTTACAGGGGACAACCGCCATGTATCCATCAAGGATGTATTAATCAACCGGGTTCTCCTTACTCAAGGTTTCTCAAAGGATCTATCCAAAAACCACCTTCTTGGCAAAGGAATCCTCTAAATGTATGGATGATCCGTCACAAGGATGTAATTTTTTTTGCCCCGAAGGCGGGCAGAATGCAACCCAAGACGCCTTCAATCTTCTCCTTGTTCTCCTCACAGAGCAAGAAACACCTGCGAGCGGCGAGCGTGCACCTTGTGAAGAGGTGCTCTTCGTCCACGCAACCATGAACACGTTCTTCCCAGAGCATTTATCTTTTGGGGGGGCGGAACCGCCAAACCCAAGAGGGGGAAACGCGTGGTAAATTTACATTTGCAGCCCTAATCCTAGCCGTGACCCCCCACGATGGATGCAAAATTATGTGTCCTGAGGTCCTGGGAAACCAGAACAAATAACACATGTTCTTGCATTATTTTTGGCATTGCTTTCCGGACCATTTTGGTGGGTTCCGACCCTGATACTCAATCACAAACCCATGGTACCTGGGTTGTCCTCAGATCCCCTGCGAAACGTGGAACGTTTAGTTTACCCCCCCACTAGACCAACTAAGAACCCAACCACCGAAGGAACCGGACGGCTGGTACGTAGATTTTGTCGCTGGGGCCGGGGCTGCTGGAAGGTCGAAGCCGCCAGGCCATAGATGTTCATGCAGAGGTGCGAGACCGTGTAGCCGCAAACCACGTACATTACCTCAGCCCGGCCCAATGCTTGGCAGATGGCTCAAACAAATGGAATCCCAGAATTGCGCCTTACGGCCAAAACCGGTGAAGCCCTAGCTCTTTAATGTTGAGCCGCTCCCTATTTTTTGAGAGATAAACCTTCCCCAGCAAGGGGAAAAGGGCGACACACAGCAACCGCGTTACACGAAAGCTATCCAGGTAACTCGTGAAAACCCATGGGGGAAAGGGCCCTGTCAGGAAACGCACACGTTTTCTGAGCTTATGCACGCTGGTTGGCTTCGGACCGTGTCATGCACCACATCCCTTTCTAGTTCTATATGTATTTATCCACATATGCGTATACTTGTTCCTGCAAACCTGTACTAATTGCTATAAGTCACTTGCCTGAAAGAAGGAGTCCGTTAGTAAGGGGGGCTTCATCATCGGCCAAGCTCTGGCAGAGAGTTCGAGTTGCGATGGGGATGATTGGCGAGGCGTCGGGGTGCATGTTGATCAGCTGCAAGTAGCCAACTGCCACCTTTGGCCCAAGCCGAGGGTACGCCAACAAAAAGCCGGGCATGTGTTAGAGCCAAGGGAACCCATCGGAAAAACAAAAAAATATGGTCGTCCTGTTGGTTCATTTTGAGGCCACAAAGTGAAAAGGGCACTGAAAAACACAAGCAACTTCAAGCACACATATGGTCAGATTCTTCTTCGTATCTGACCGGCCTTAAAGGGAGATTTGAGGGAGATTTGAGGGAATGCCCAAGGGCAAAGCAGCAAACCAAATTTTCGTTGCTACAGTAGGGGGTTCTCATCGAAAAGGGCCAGTGGTGTGATTTTTAACCACACATAGAACACTAAACCGAAACGTGGTCGGTCAAAACCGCTTGTGGTGGTGGCTTCTTGGTACTTGAGATGCTTGGAAGGGGATACCAGTCTGAGGGCTACCTGGCATATCTCTCAAAGAAATCTGAAACAGCTGGCTATTCAGTGGTGAGCGATCATGCCCACTTGGATCAGCCTTTGGCTAGCCTGGTCTGATTTGCCAAGCCCGCGGCCGTCGCAGCAATGATAAACAGATACCTCAGCGAGCGCTTCCAGACAGGCCCCCCGCCTGAAGCAGAACTGTTGGTTGATTTTGAGTGGGAGGTGTCTCGTGGGGCTTCAGGGAAACACCCCCAAAAGGGAGGGTTCTGCTTAGATCCGGGGTGTGAAGCCCTGCTTTTCACTCAGATCCCACATTGAGCCTTGAAAAGCCAACGACGAGACAGACAGCCAGAAACTGTCGGCACGAAAGAACAAACACGGGTGCGCTGCAACCCAACTTCCACGTTTGCAAGTTCAGATAGCAGAAGCAGTAACTTGCGATCTTTAATCCCAAAACGATGAGCTCGCCACAAACAAGTTGGCACCTCGGGACCCTTCTCTTTCAAACAAAATGGCCCCCCCCCGCCTGCGAAGATGGGCAGTTTCTAAGGAGGACGGATGAACAACACCCGGACTTTTAAGGCACCCCCCAGTCTGGCTGTTTTTTTGAGGTGGAATGGACTCCGAAAGAAGTTGGCACCAGGCCGCAGCCTCGCCTCGTTTTCACCTCAGCTGACCGCGCGTTCGCCGAGCGGCCCCACGAGATTGATCACCGAGAGCAGCAGCGCCACGGCCCCGAAGCGCAGCGCGTTGCTCAAGATGAGGTAGAACGCCTGGACCGAAATGCATCATGGGCGGCTCGTGGCTCGTCTTGACCCCTCAAAATGGTGGCCGTCCTTTTGGCTTGCCGATAAAGCCACCCATAAAAAGGGGTGCCCCGGAAAAAAAGGCGGGAATTTCCCACTGAGAACTGGCAAACTCAGAAGGATTCCCTTTCTCGCCAGGCTGGTTGCAAGTGGGACATTGGCTTACTATAAGGGCCTGAATATGTCGAATGGGGTGTTGCGGCATCCACAACAACAGTGGGGTCCAAACACTTGGCACGCGGGTTGCAACGGAAGCGGACAGGGGGTCCCCCAAAAGTAAGTGACCCACGTGATGCTGACATCACCCCAAACAAACCGACAAGTTCTCAGCTGCCCAGTCAAAAAAAGATTGTTTTTTTCTTTTGTTTTTTTCCGGGGATCATGCCGCGTCCCCACAACCAAAACAGTGTCCGCGGCTTGCGCCGCAAACACTCGCGAGAAGTGGTGCAGCAGGACTCGCTACGTTTTATAGGGTGGAACTCTCAGAGCCGCGCTGCAACGGGAGCATCCCCAGCCAGACAACGTGTGGCAACCGCCCTCCGCGCCTTTTGGGCAGCCGTGCAGAAGTTGAAGCCCTCAATGGCGATCTGGATGTAAGCATTCCTCGGACAACTTCTGCCCACGCCATGTTCGTGCCACTCCTTCGGGCTGTATTTTTCCCCCGTGCCGCAAGAGTTGCATTTGCCCAGGACTTGCCTTTTCGAGTGTCTGTCCAAAAAATCGAGTTTCCACCTTCCTGCCCAGAACGTGCATTGGCCCATGAATACACATCGAGGGTCTTTCCAAAAATGCACATGCACACAGACACACTCGAATTGTCAGAAGCTTTGGTTTCTGTTCCTCAGTCTCGGGTGCGCTTCCATGCGGCTTTGCTGGATCCAAAGGACGGGAGCGTTGCCATAGGGCTCTCCATGCGCATATCAGGTCCCTTAAAGGACAAATGCAAAAACAAAAACACCCGCAAAAATCGGGGATCCTTGAAATCGGCTGATAACATGTATCCTACTTTGAGGCGCCCTGCATATGGGAGATAGCAGTGTGGCGTTTGCGTTGCCGATTGTTCAGGGGACAAGAGAACAACCAAGACACCTGGGTGGGTCTGCAAAATGATGTCTATATCTAAATGGTCTCTTTATATGTATGGCTATATGGAGATATATGTACATGGGATGGGCTCAAACAGTCAGGAGTCGTTAAGAGAAGCAGGTTGACATTCAAGATGTGCAGGCCCCCCCCCCACATTCAACGGGCACACTCGATGGCACACTGCCAGTGCTTGGTTTTGATTTCTGGCCCCTTCCCCGCAGAGGGAAAACCACATGATGGGTTTTGGTGCAAAACAAAACCCTAAACCGGGCTACCCGCGAAGGCAGCCAAATCCGAGCGTCTTGCTCACAAACTTCAGGAACTTCTCCAAGCACCAGAGGCAGCACTGCAGGAGCTTTAGGACCATCGCCACGACCTCGGGCTCCGACCCCCAAAAACCAGCGGTGGGGAAAACAGGGCGCTCGGTTTCGGGTAGTTTGCTTTAAAGGAT